TCATTTACAGTGTAATCAGTGAGGGGATTCTGCAGACTGTTGAGGGTTCAGCCTCTTGATGAGTCGGTGAAACTCCAACGAAACAGTTTGTCACAGCTTCTCGTTTGTTGTCCTCTTCTCTCTCTCTGCCTACGGTTTACCGGGCAGTTCTCTTTGTGGGTCTGTGCATGGGTGTACGAACCTTTTTTTTTTTTTTTTTTTTCCGTTGGGCCGGAATAATGGGTGTACGAACTGAACTAAGGCGAAAGAGAAGCATGAAAAAACAGAAAATTATGAAAACCTGCATTCGGCTTGAATTTCACAAAAACGCGACTTGAAAAGAAATAAAAAACCGCTTTTCTCTTCTTTTTTTTTTCTAATGAGGGTTTCGACTCTCTTCCCTCCTCCAGATGGAAGAGAGTGAAAACGAGGTTTGTTCCGCTTTTTCTTTCTACTATGCTTGGTTTCATTCTTTTTTTTTGTCCCTGTCACCCCCACTTCTTGCTTGTGCAGAGGCCAAGCTTTTTTTTTTAATAAATATTATTTTTTAAAATTATCATTGCTTGTACAGCGTCAAGCTATTCCCCTTTCTTTATTTATCCCACAGAGGCCAAGCTAATCATTTTAACTTCACAAATTTCCAGCTTCTCCTCCGCGTCTTGATCTGGAATCCTCCCCTTTTAAACCATGAAAAGAAAGCTCCTCTTCCTCTCCTCCTGATGGAAGATGATGGCATTTAGGATGCCTGGACCGCTACTTCAGGATGATGGCATTCATGAGCATGGTGATGACACCTGATGATTATGGTTGATGATGATGATTGATGATTGATGATCGATGATTGATGATTGATGCCTGAAAGTTGTCCTTCCATGGTTTGTAGATCGTAAGGATCTTTCCCTGCTCTTGCTCCCCCTCTCTCTCCCCCGTGTTTCTCCCCACTTATCTCTCCCTTTCTCTCCCCTTTCTCTTCCCTGTTCTCTCTGCAGATGTACTTTGCAAGTTCGCATTGTGTGTTTGGCTGGCTCCGCAGACGAAAATGGCAAGCAATGTCTCTTGCCACCAGGTTACCATCATGAATAAGTAATCTCTCGCTTATATCCCTGTATTTGTTGGAGATTTTCCCCTATATGTTGTTTTGTGTGTGTCATTGTGTCTAGCATGGACACTCGACAATAAATTATCATCTCAATATCTAAGACGATTGATTGGTTATAGACAATGGATGCCGTGGAGTTGTCAGCAATCTTTCCCCGTCAGTCCACCTCACCAAGACTTCACGCCAGCAATTTCCGCGTCAACAGTCTTTCTTTGCCAGCAGGTTTTTTCCATATATCAGGAATCTACAGGCCACGTTAGATCATAATCTTAAAAAAAAAAAAAATCAATGCAACCTGTGCACAGACACCACAAGTTCACAACCCAGGTATCTATGTACACCATGATCACCAGCAACAAAAAACGTCAAAGGCTTGGGACTCCACGTCTGCAGGAGGAAGCAAACAGTTGCAGAAGCCTACAAAGCGCACATGTTGACACATTCTGAAGATTCTGATCACTCCATATACAGTGCACACACACATTCACGAACGTAGAGCGTGCATGGAGACATACGTTTTCCCCATGCTGCCTCCGGCCCCCGCCAACCTTTTTCTCCATCCCGTATCACCTTTTTCTTTTCCATTATTTTATATGGGCTATCTCCTAACATGATTGTACGTTGCGATTCCAGTTGGATACAAAGTCATTATCTTTCCTGTAACAGTGCAGTGGGAGTACCATTCAACTATTTGGGTTGGGTCCCTTTCCCACTAGCCCTTCCCTGCCCCTGCACCCGCCCACGCACAAACACCATCTATTCCACAGTCAATGTAGCATATCACAAAGCGAAATGCACTGAGAGCCTAGGATCTAGCAACGACGAAAGTGGCAACAACCAGCAGCATAGGTGCAACATCCACGAGATGTCAATGTGCACGGTGCAAAGGGTGAACCAACAAGAAATCAACAACACACATTCGTATCATTATCATCATGGGCTGGGAAGCAGCGCAGCGGAAGATTTAGTATCAAAGGACACGTGGACAACAACATGAAAAGGAGAAAACTTCGGAAGGGCAAGACATCAGAAAGATTGCCCTTCCGCTCACACACATGGGGAGAGATCCATAGACATGCGAGAGAGACGGGGGAGGGACGGAGGTAACCAAGTCCAAC